GAGAGAGAGAGAGAGAGAGAGAGAGAGAGAGAGAGACAGAGAGAGAGAGAGAGAGAGATAATTCCGGGAAGAAGTGATTGTGATTTCGATGACAAAAGAGAGAAGGAGAGGAGAGGAGGGAGGAAGGACGAGAGGGGAGGAGGGAGGAGGCAGGACGCAGGAGGAGAGATGTAGAGAGTGGAGGGGGAGGGTCGCAATCAGACCCTCTACAACCCCCCTTTTTTTCTTTTTTTTTTTAATTAGTCAATCAATCAAGAACGCCCTTTTGTCGATCGATCGATGGATCGATCGATGGATGGATTGGTTGGTTGCTTGGTTGCTTGCTTCCTTGCTTGCTTGCTTGCTTGGTTGCTTGCTTGGTTGCTTGGTTGCTTGGTTGCTTGCTTGGTTGCTTGGTTGCTTGGTTGCTTGCTTGCTTGCTTGGTTGCTTGGTTGCTTGGTTGCTTGGTTGCTTGCTTGGTTGCTTGCTTGGTTGCTTGCTTGCTTGGTTGCTTGGTTGGTTGGTTGGTTGGTTGGTTCGTTGGTTGGTTGGTTGCTTGGTTGCTTGGTTGCTTGGTTGGTTGCTTGCTTGGTCGGTTGGTTGGTTGCTTGATTGCTTGGTTGCTTGCTTGCTTGCTTGCTTGCTTGCTTGCTTGGTTGCTTGCTTGGTTGCTTGCTTGGTTGCTTGGTTGGTTGCTTGGTTGGTTGCTTGGTTGTTTGCTTGGTTGCTTGGTTGCTTGGTTGCTTGGTTGCTTGGTTGCTTGCTGGCTTGCTGGCTTGCTGGCTTGCTTGCTGGCTTGCTTGCTTGCTGGCTTGCTGGCTTGCTTGCTTGCTGGCTTGCTGGCTTGCTGGCTTGCTGGCTTGCTTGCTTGGTTGCTTGGTTGCTTGGTTGCTTGGTTGCTTGCTTGGTTGCTTGGTTGCTTGCTTGGTTGCTTGCTTGCTTGGTTGCTTGCTTGCTTGCTTGCTTGGTTGCTTGGTTGCTTGGTTGCTTGGTTGCTTGCTTGGTTGGTTGGTTGCTTGGTTGGTTGCTTGCTTGGTTGCTTGGTTGCTTGCTTGGTTGCTTAGTTGCTTGGTTGCTTGGTTGCTTGGTGGCTTGCTGGCTTGCTGGCTTGCTGGCTTGCTTGCTGGCTTGCTTGCTTGCTGGCTTGCTGGCTTGCTGGCTTGCTGGCTTGCTGGCTTGCTTGCTTGCTTGCTTGGTTGCTTGGTTGCTTGCTTGGGTGCTTGCTTGGTTGCTTGCTTGGTTGCTTGCTTGGTTGCTTGCTTGGTTGCTTGCTTGGTTGCCTGCTTGGTTGCTTGCTTGGTTGGTTGCTTGCTTGGTTGCTTGCTTGGTTGGTTGCTTGCTTGCTTGCTTGCTTGCTTGCGTGGTTGCTTGCTTGGTTGG